CACCCGCACCTGCCCCGGAGCTGTCAGTGCACCGAGGCCTCCCCTCCGCCTCTGCAGGATCAACTCACCCAGCGACCTCATACGGCTTCCCCTCAGAGCCCTTCACCATTGTCACTGCCCTCCTTTGGACGCTCTAATAGCTCCATGTCTTCCTTGCATTGTGGCGTCCAGCACTCGAGGTGAGGCTGCCCCAGCTCAGAGCAGAGCGGGACAATCCCCTCCCTTGCCCGTCTGGCCGTGCTGTGCCTGATGGCCCCCAGGACAGGGCTGGCCCTCTGTGTGCCAGGGCTCTGCTCAGATTCACCTGCCAAACGGCGAGCGGGGTTTCATCCCTCCCGAGTCGGAGGGGCAGGGCTGGCAGCGACCTCTGGAGAGCACCCAGTCCTGCCCCGTGCCAGAGCAGGGCTGTGCCTCTCCCTCATTGCCAGTGGTTGCATTTTATGGGTTTCAACACCAATTTTCCTCTTGCTGCTAATCTTTTAAGCTCTCAGTAACACATTTCTTTTTGTCTAACTTCTTATGAGGTGTCCGGGATGTGTGATCACTGGCTCTTTTCTCATTACTCAGAGTCACTGAGCTGGGGCGATCACATTTTCACTTTCTTTTGCCAGTTGGTGCAAGATGGTACAGGTTTTGGGCACATCTAGGCATCCTTTCTTTTTCCTCTTTTTTTTTTTTTTTTTTCAGAGAGGCAATTATGTATATCCACTCTTTTTTCCTTGTCTTGTATTAGGAAGCATCTTTGCACCCACATGTTCCAAACTAGCCTCCAGTTTAACACAGGCAGCCTGGTAAATCCACACACTGACTTTCCAAGGAGAAGTGCACCCAGCTTTTCCCAAGCCCCCCGGGGAAGCACTGCTGTCCCCGTGTCCCACCACAGCCAGGGTGTCCCCTCCATGGGCAGCCTGACAGGGATGTGTCTGTGTGAGCTCTCCTGGCACTTCCCGCTGCTGCCTCCTCACCATCATCCTCACACGCTGCTGAGGGGCTCTGGACCTTGCAAGGGCTGTGACACAGGGACACAGAAACTCATTCTGTTATACATTTGCTCTGCTGGGTACTGGATCTCCTACAAATAAGTGATGTGTTGAAAACATTTATAGGGAAATAAGTAGGAAGCTATGGAACTCTTACCTGTTATTACTCCCTCAGGGAAATTGAGTTGGGGATGTTCAGAGGCACTGCTTATGCACTCGTGAAAGGGCTGGCTGGGACAGGTATATTTTTATTATTTTTCTTATAAGGACAAGTGAGATTTAGCCCAGTAGTCAGGGTCGAGATAAAAGACAGAAGGGCAGTTGTGCCTAGACCTCTTTTTCCCCCTTTGGACTTACTTTTCTGCAGCAGCCTGTCAAGCTGAAACAAATCTAGACCTCACTTGAACTCTGATTCTTAAGAGACATTAATAAAATACCTTCAAAAGACATCATGGGACCTGAAACGCTTAATGCTGCTAATGATCCTGGACTTGGCAGAGACATCAGGGCACAGGACACAATTCCCCGTCCCTCACCTTCCTTAGGCAGTGAATTGCTCATTGCTTTCCTTGAGTGTGCCAGTGGAGCTCCCTTTCTATCTCCTCCTTCCCTGCTCTTCCTTCCTTTGCTCCAGATATCAGTGCCCTTTTTTTAAAGATGGTCTAGCTTCTTACATAATCTAATTAAATTTACAAGTAGTTCTCTGCTGGTTTTCACCTTCAAGACTACAGTTACTATTTCAGGCCTGAAGAAGGGGCTTCTTCCCAAAAGCTTTTCCTGTTTTTTTTTTTCTTTTCCTCAGTGGCATCTGGCCTGATAAAAGATAACCCCTCTTTTTACAAACCACAATAAAAAAAGAGCAACTTCCATCTTTAGCAGTGTGGTGAGTGACAGGGGAACATTTGGCTCCTTCTAAGTAGTGTAATATGCAGCTAAAAACATCCAGTTAGTAGGTGTGCTTCAATTTGGTTTTATTTTCAAGAGACCATTCTAGAAAAAAGGATATTTCTGCAGTAGTCCAGAAACATCTTAGAAATTCATCATTTGACTCAATTTGCTGAAGTCAGGGTAGAAAGCCTTTAGCACAGAGTGATGGTAAAGGGACCTTCAGGTTGCTTTGCCTTGCCTGTAGGTCTGTATTAGGAGTTGCAGGTGTAAAATGTGAGATGTCATTTAAAAATGCATGTCCTAAATAGGTCAAGGCTCCTGTGTGAACACCAGGAGTGTTTGATGTGGAGTTAAGTTAAATCAGTATCAAGTTGAAGTTAGCAGTGTTTTAATTGGCATAGGCTTCGCTGAGGTATCAGTGCTGAAATTTTCCTGTGATCCTATTTAGACACGGAATTATGTTATGTGCTGATACTTTGTGAAATAGATTTGAAAATGCTTTTTTTCCTCCCTTTTTTTTTTCAGAAACCATTTGAGAAAACCTTAGTGTTTCTCAACTGCTTTCTGTCCAGGCAGCCTCTTCAAGCACTTCTCACATCCAGCCAGAGTTGGATTCACGTTTCAGAGTGACACGTTACAAATGTGGTCCCTCCCTCCACCTTTCTAGCTGCCGATTGACAGCCAAAATGATGTGAGAAGTTTTCCTGACAGTGCACCTCACCTTTTGTGTTGTGTAAATCCCAAAGGATTGATGGAATCCTGTGGGTTTATACAGGAGTCTTCTAACAGTATCTGAGGAGGATATTCTAGGCAGGTGTCTGCAGAGTGTCACAAGAAGCCTTTCCCATGGAAAGCCACACCTCAGACAGTTGTGAATTACTGCACTATTGCTTCCATCAATATTGTGTGGATATGGCTGTGCTCAACTAATTGTGTCTTGGGTTAGAGTGCCAGATGACAGCTGATCCTGCACCATTCTGTCCCCAAATAAACAGTCCATTTTCAGCCCTTGTGGCAACTCCCATGAGCTGTAAGAAAAGGGAGGGAATCCTCCCTTCAGTTCATGTCTCCTGCAGGGTGCAATCAGTGGAAATAAAGCAGAGGTGAGGCTGGAGGAAGAGAGGTGATACTGGGCTATGACATAAGGGGTGGCACCAGTGCGTTCTTCTAACCTGTGTAAAAGGCTGTGAAAGTCACATAAAAGTGATGATGTTTTGCATCATTTGCCACGTGTGGGGGAGAGGATCCTAAGTAGGCATCTATATCTGCTGCTAGAAAGAAATTGGAAAAAATGAGGATTAAAGGACTGAGCAAGCCCTGGTGCTGCAGAGGGGCTGGCAGGACAGTCTGTGCCCAGTGCCCCCTTCCCCAGTGCATCTCCCAGCACAAAGGCTTTGGGAGAGAGGATGCACATGATCAACCCATGTCTTCACAAATCTGTCTGGAATTTAAGACTGAAACAAGGAGCTGTAACTTTGTAGCCCTTCTTCCAACACACACACAGATGGAAACTGTAGCTTTTGACTGGTTTGCTTCAAGTTGTTTCCCTAGGGCATTTCCAGGCAATAAAGATTTGATCACTATTTGTTACCCCTGCTTATTAATTGGGAATTGATCTTACAAACCCAGACCATCAGTTTGATTCTTTCAGGTGAGTTTATGTTATGAATATAGTCAGTCTTCCAATGCTTGGCAATCCTTCGACTGTTTTGGATCTCGAGCCAAAATTCATAATTTAGATTTACATTGGCAGTGTACTAAGCCAGAATCCCAGATCCCAAGATTAATATTTGAAAGAGTTGAGCTTTGATCATTAGTGTAGCTTATCAGCTCAGATCTATTCACAAATGATAGACCATATTAGGCTGGACTAGATAGATTAAGGTATCCCAGACAAAGGCATCATTTTTAGAATACAAGGGAGGTCTTTGGTTGAGCAACAACCCCTCTTGCACTCACCACAAACGCAGGTGTTTGTGTTCTTACCTTGGCATTTTCAGTGTTTACTCTTGCTCTCGGTGGCTGCTGCGCTTCTGCGAACAGACACAGAGGTCACTGCGCAGCCACAAACCCCTTTTGCCTGGGGCACTGCTCACCCAAGCCCTGCCCTGGGCGGAGTGAGGCTGTCAGCCCGCGCTGCAGCTGCTGCGTCGCTAGGAAAAACAGGACTGCGATTCCCAAGTTCACAACTATGAAGCAAGGTGCTGCCCACCCGCAATTTAATACTCACTTACCATAGAAACATCCCGGTGACTGAAAGGGCTGTGGTGGAAATGTCTGCACCTGATCCTCAGGTCTGTGCCAGTGTGTCCCACTGATGTGCTCAATGATGGAATAGAGAGTGCATTAAAGTGGCAGTAACATTACATTGGGAAGGACCACAAGTGTATTGGAGATTAAGACTGGAATTAAAAAGTGATTTTGACACATTGGACAAGTGGCCTGAATTGTTAGAAGGCATTTGGACAAGGCCAGCCCATCAATGAGCAGCCAAACATTTGCTGAAAGGAAAGCCTACCAAAGGCGTTTGAACACAAAGGTGCAGCATAACATTCAAACAAGCTCTGAGCCACACATTACTAGAAACTGAAAGAGTGCATAAGGGAAGTGCTGCCTGATCATGGCCCTGGTCCTCTGCTTGTTGTAAGCTTCTGCTGCTGGCAAATGCCAGGGAATGCTGAGATGATGGTGTGCTCCACGTGGGTGCTCTGATGTCATGCTCACAAATACAGAGCAGAAATGATCAGCCATGGACACAGGGCAGAGAACTGGGCAGCAGTTCTACAGAAAAGATCTGGGATACTGGTGGATCCAAAGCTGAACCAGAATCATAGAGTCGTAGAAACATTTAATTTCAAAACGGCCTCTGAGATCATTGTGTCCAGTCATTAACCCAGCACTGCCAAGTCCACCACTAATCCATGTCCCTGAGTGCCACATCTGCTTGCCTTTTAAATACTTCCAGGGATGGTGACTCAAAAACATCCCTGTGCAGCCTGTTGTTATGCTTGACCAGCCTTTCAGTGGGAAAAACCAATAATCCTAATGTCTATTTTACCTGTTCTGAGAAAAGGCCACACCATATTGGAGTAGCTAAGGGATGATGTTTTGTGTAAGAAACTTGTGCTGTTGTAGATGTGAGGGGCTGAGCTGTGTTTGGTGGTGCTGGCATTTCCTGGAGCACTGACTCCAGCTTTAACAGCACACTGTGAACGCTGTGAAAAAGCTATGGACTGATCAGCAAGGGTTTACAAGAGCAGAGGGAATGAGTAGAATGAAAATGAGTTAGTTTGTTTTGCTGTGAGGAAGATTTAGATTAGCCATGGGAAATGCTTTCCAGTACAGCCAACAGAGAAGCAAAGAATAGGCTGTCTACCTAGTTCTCTGTCCTGGCAGGTTTTTGCAAATAAGCTAGAAACCTGCTCATGGGAGATCAGAAAGCATGTTAGATCTGTCATTATTGACACAAATAATGGCTGACTCTGCCTTCTCTAGGTTCTTTTTAACCCTATTCATCACCAAGTGATTCTTATATTAACTATGTGCTGTCATTTATACCTGTTTAGGGTGGTTACACAATCAGGGTAAAATTAATATCCACAAATCCCTATTCAGAATAAACAAGAGGGTTTGGAAAAGGGACATTATGAGAAGAATGTTTCCCTGCATGGCAAGATGGGTCTGCTTGGAAATCACGTGCACACAGAAGGAGAAGCATTCAGGTTCTGCTGTGCCCAGGGTTTTAATCCTAGTGAGTCCCTATTTTAGTCCTGTTTAAATACAGTGTGGTACAATCCTTTGACTTAGGTTAGAGGTAGGCTGCAGAAAGGGCTCCTTCCATGCCAAACCTAAGGCAAGGGTAAGCAAGGGTTTATAGTAGGAGTCCTAGTAAAATATCTGTAATTGTATTTGAATATCTGTGTATAGGCCTTGCCCTGATAAGCCCCAGTTGTTGTTGATGGGCTGCAGCTGTGATGCCCTTAATTGGGCTGCAGCTGTAGCTAATGAAGGTAACTGGAATAAAAGGGGCTGGGCTTGGCCAGTTGGGGAGAACATGGAAGGAGCTCTGATGGAGAAGGAGCAACAAGCAGAAGAAGTCAGAGCCGTGAAGAGCTGCCCTCAAGAAGTATTGCTGAGAAGGTACAAGACTTTAGGAATATGATTGCGACAGTATGGGACTTTAGAAATATGAAATATAACAGAAGATAGCAACAGGGATCTAATTTCTTGTGTTGGGACTCTCCTTAGTCTGTGGGTGGTAAACCTGGATGTCTCTCTTACAGCAGAGTGGGGATTTTATAAAGCCATCCACCAAAAAAAAAAAAAAAAAAATTCAGTGCATGCTTGGCTGGTTCAATTGCTTTGCAAAGAATGGGAATGGAATTTATCCTATTTATCCTCCACAGCAGAGATAGCTCATGAGCAGATCCGTTTGTTAAGAGCACTTAAGCTGACTTCTCATGGAGCAGCCAGGCTGGCTACAGAAGGGAAGGGGAGCTGGAACTGCAGGCAGGGGAAGTGTCTTCCCCAGCTAGGGCTCAGTCCCAGGGTGCCCCTGCCAGGCCAGTGGTGTGGGACCAATGTCCGAAGCCATTCCAAGGGCTGGGATGAGCCAGACACAGTGTGGCTGCAGCACTGCCCCAGGGGGGAGTGAGGGATGGGCCTGAGCACAAACAGCCACTGAGCCCTGGGGAAGAGGGTCCCAGCAGGGCAGCTAACGGCCCCATCCATGGAGCTGGTTTTACTGGAATGTGAGCCAAGGTTGCAATTTCCATCTGCAGGCACCACTTCAAAGTTAGCCAGTGCTTCTAAGGCAACACCTCTGCCCAGTTCTTCACCCTGAAGACATCTTCAGTTAACTTAGTGATCCCTGTTGAGAGGATGATGTCCTCCTGCGAGCTCTATATTTTTGTGCCAGCCTTAAGGCCTTCTGAACGCCTGTGCTATGTGGCGACACCCCACTAGATGGCGGGACAGGAGCCGGTGGACGGCAAGCAGGACTCCGCTCACCTTGGTAGGAGGCCAGAGCTTTTTCCACTGCTGTTGGTACCGTTCCCATGTCACCTGACGTGCCCTAGGACCAGCGCAAGTAAAACTCGATCTTGGGCCTGTAACTGATGCAGCCGCTCTGGGCTCCTGGCCAGCTGGGTGCTGCACACAGATACCATTCACTCCTGATAATTAGCATCCACTCATAATGAGCTGGGGTCTGTTGGGTTCTTAGCCATTACAGGGGCTAATCCTGCCATGCTGAACTCACTCAGTTGCCATTTTACAAAATGGCATTTGCTTCAGAAATCTTATGAAGCCTGAAATTGAGTTCTGCCATTTTAATCCATCCCTGTGTGCTTTTTAGGTCATTGTTACACAGTGTGAGCTCTCAGTCTTGTCAATAGGGAAATAATCATCAGAGCACTCAGCATGTTAGTGGTGTTATCCCTAGAATTCTGACACTACCAACAGGTAACACAGTTACATTTAGAAAGCAAACTTTGCTGCAGATGCACCAGGAAAATGGCAGGATTTAATACCCATGATGATAAGCAAATGGGTAGATTAACTTCTTAGTCTCTCAAAGCATCACTTTAAAATACTGTAGGGGACAGGAGACAACAGGACTAAAAGATTCTATTTTGGAAAACAGCTTCTCAAATGGCAATCCAGTAACTTGAGGTCATAACATGTCAGCTGGAAATACAAAGCTGCTGTCATTTTCAAAGATCTCAAGACAGATATTTATTATTTTCTGTTAAGAATTTAGTGCCCACTACATTCCTCCTTTCTGCAAAAATCGAAAAGGTAACTGGGTGATGAAGGATATGTTGGACACTTAGGAGGTACTTCCTAGCTTCTGAGTGATTTTGAATTGCTCTGTTGTTTTGGAAAGGTATGGCAGCACTGTAGGAGCTACTCAAAAATGGGAAATTTTAAGAGAAGGATGAGAGAAGAAGGTGTTTGCAGATTCTAGCCACAAATATGCTCTGAGGAACTAGGGACTGATCTGTTTATCTGTCTGTGAGATGGCTGATAATCTGAGGCACTTCAAGATAAGGTTAGGAAAGGACCTTGAGAGTTCAGCCAGCCAGTCCTCTTTCATCAGGGGGATTAGTTAAACATGCCCTTCTCTGGGGAGATGTTTGCTTACCTTGTTCTTCAGGTTTCCTTGTGCTGGAGATTTCCATCGTCCTCTGCAGAACAAATAGAACTGCTTACTGGACAGGGGGCTGGGCCCTACCATTCCCCTGGGAGTGTTGCAAGTATAGGGTGGATCATAACCTGTATTAATGCGGATTTAGAGGCCTGTCTGATGCTCAGATCCTTAGGGAGCTCCTTGTGCCCCATTCTACACGCTCTACATAGACACTAGGCTACACAATTTCTGTATTTATTTTAAAAGCCCAACTGTATTGTTTGTGAGTACTTTCACACAGGATGAATCAGGGTGTTCCTCAGTGTTTGGCTCTTTCACTGGGTCAGTGGGCGCATGGAAGTCTCTCTCCACAGCTGTGATGCTGTAGGTGGAGAGGAAAAATGGATGAACCAACTAATCTCATGTATTTCTTCAGGAGCTTTACATAAAAAAGCAGTTTAGCTAATGAATACAATTCAGGGCAGAGTGGCCTGAAGTGATAATAGATGCTTCTGTGAAAACGTAAGAACATCCCTCAGTGCTGATCACAAGACTAAACTGTTAATGAAATTTTAAGAAGGGAATAGAGACTAAAAGCAGAAACATCATTGCCATATGTCTGTATACACACACACAGAGTAAATACACACACACACACACTTTGTATGTAATTGCTGCATGCCCAAATGTCAAGTGCCATGTGCAGGCCTGGCCTCACAGTGTCAAAAAAGTGTGATAAAAGTGAGACCAGTACCAAGAAAAGAGGCAAGCAGCAAAATATTATCTGCAAAAAGGCACACTACCTTTAAAAAGTGATATCTGGGGTGGTGGGAGTGATAGAAATCTTACCATCAAAGTTGAGAAAATTAGAAGAGACCAACTATTCACTGTCTGTCAGCAGAAAGGAAATATAGGAG